GTAGAAATATTCCTGGAAGCCATTTCTACACCTGGCTGGCTAGCAGTACTTACCTCTACACAGAAGAGACTGCAGTACACAGAAATATATTCCACTTAACCAAGTGCATGCTCGATTCCACTTCCAATTAACTGGATCTCAAAATTCCAGTGTGACATGACCAAGGGGAAGTGTATTAAAGGGAACATCAGAATGGACAGAGATAGCGATCTTAACCAAGTGGGAATGAAATAGCTTCTGCAAATTTTACTCAAACATGACAGTGCGAAACCATTTCTAGGCCCTTCTTGAGCCTTGGAAGGAGTCTGCGTAGGTGAGGGGCCCTGAAGCTTAAGTTCCATGAGCTTCACAGCATGTCTGCCTCTGGGTAGGACGGGCGTGAATAACATTTATCCGGGAGCACTTAGTTTATTTATGCTGTTGTAACCACAGCACCAGGAGAAACAACAGCCGCTATGCCCAAAACGTTCTTGTGTTGAATGAGACCACTGTGAGGTCTCATCCTCTTTGTTAGACCTACTTCCAAGTATTTTGTTGACCAAGACACATCCTTACCAAATGAGTCACGTCCACCTAACTCTGCTAAGTCAGTACAATTTATTTCCAACATATTAATACACAAGTAGTTTTCAAACATATATCTCCACATGATGCTTTAATCCTTAATTTCTAACCAGATACATTATACATACTTTTATACTTGGAAAAGTTCCATGTTTTATACACTTATTAATCTTATAAATTTCCTCAGAATAGATTTCTCTTTTGATCAATTCTACCCTTCACTGTAAGTTGAAAAAAAAAAGCGTCAGTGTAGTAGCAAAGGGAAGATGGACAGTTTCTCTGGTCTGAGTAGTGGAGGCTAAAAGTGGAATCTATCAGTATAATATTTTCACCTTACAGACCAATCGATATTTTTCATAATTTCTTATATGAAAAATATTTTTTTCATTTCAATAATATTTTCCAGATTGTTCTGTTAGCTTTCAAGGTTTCTTAACTTCCACAGGCTCAGTGGCCTGTCAGAATCATGGGTTGGTTAAGCTGACTCTCTACAGAGTCTCAATTCTACTCTTCACAAAATTAGTGATTTTGTGATTTACTAATAATTGCTGTTTCAGATACCAAGTCAACCAAAGTTAACTAACAAGCTCTTGCTAAGTTTCTATATTGATTTAAAAATATACAATAAAGCTAATGGAAATATTAGTACTCAAAAGTAAAAAAGGGACCTAAGCACTTTTTTGAAAGAATTTTAGAGTTTGAAACGAATCTCGGTTGAAGTATGTGGAGTTTGTTTATTTCACAGCCTTAGGTAATTGAAGATCAAATTCTCTTGGATTAGCAGCTATGATAGATGATCCTATTGTGCAATGTAGAAACTTAGGTTCAATATGATCTTTCATAAAACTTATTTAGCCATTAATTGAAAGCAGACAAATAGGATGGTCATGAATTGGCAATTTTGGTTTTTCTACTTATTTATTTAGCTTAGCTTGTTTTCTTAAACTTCACCTTCAATGTGTAATCCCTGGGCTAAAAATGCTCATTTATTTTTATGGACTTTATTATATTTATTGCAGACTGAATTTTTAAAATAAAAATATTTAGGGCCAGCCTGGTGGCGTAGTGGTTAAGTTTGCGTGCTCCGCTTCAGTGGCCTGGGGTTCACAAGTGTTGATCCTGGATGGGGACCTTCACACCGCTCATCAAGCCATGCTGTGGTGGTGTTCCACATACAAAATGGAGGAAGATTGGCAGAGATGTTACCTCAGGGCCAATCTTCCTCACCAAAAAAAAAATTTAGACAAGCCCACATCAATATAAAGATGACACAACTGCATCCTGTTTCCTTGTTCCCCCTCTTTTTTTCCTCTCTCTCCTTCATACACATTGCATTATTAGTTTCTTTTGATAGTTTCTCTAGTATTCTAAAATTATGTGGCATAGGGCACGTCTCTTTTAATGATAAGTGTAAATCATTTGACTTTTCAGTGTTAATAACTTTGACTTTAGGCCTTCTATTCCCATTTCAAATACAATTTTGGTTCACTTCCATTCAATAGTGTATACACTATTCCACAGTTGACTTTGTTCTGTGCTAAACTCTGGTATTGAATGTGATGGTCAAATCTGGGCTTTGAAGTTTTCAAAGCAACACGATAGATCCACATTACATGTCCTCTTGATTGCAGATGTCTGCGTGGTCATGTGTTCCTAGAGAAAGAAACTGACCTCTTGGCAACAACAACACTGGGGTAAAATTATAAACTAATTTTAGACAAGAAAAAAAATGAGAGCACCATTTGGCTGCAGACAATGAATAAAATATCTGCTTTTCTAAAATGGTAAGAGAAGTAACATTCTAGATTTTTTTTTTTTTTTTAAAGATTTTATTTTTTCCTTTTTCTCCCCAAAGCCCCCCGGTACATAGTTGTGTATTCTTCGTTGTGGGTTCCTCTAGTTGTGGCATGTGGGACGCCGCCTCAGCGTGGTCTGACGAGCAGTGCCATGTCCGCGCCCAGGATTCGAACCGACGAAACACTGGGCCGCCTGCAGCGGAGTGCACGAACTTAACCACTCGGCCACGGGGCCAGCCCCAACATTCTAGATTTTTAAAAATTGGCCAGCTACCATATTTGCCTGAAAAGAAAATATTTAATTAAATATCTCTTCTCTCATAATTTAGCTTGAATGGACTTTTCTCCTAAGCCAAATTAATTTATGACAAAGGAAGCTAATTTTAGTGAAATCAAAATTAGCTTATAATAATAATTAAATTTTTGTTAGTTGACATAAAATTTTTTTAGAGCAAATAGGACTATAAAATGCAGCTTTTGAGGAACCCTTTCATCTGATTCACATTTATCACTAAGAAAAGACATGAAATTTCAAAGAATGATCTCTTGAAAGGAAATGAACATTTTCAATTCTAATGTTATTGTAAGTATATATTAAGAATCTTCAATTTCTCTTGGGGCCGGCCTGGTGGTTCAGCGGTTAAGTTCGCACATTCCGCTTCGGCAGCCTGGGGTTTGCCAGTTCGGATCCCAGGTGTGGACGTGGCAACACCTATCAAGCCATGCTGTGGCAGGCATCCCACATATAAAGTGGAAGAAGATGGGCAAGGACATTAGCTCAGGGCCAGTCTTCCTCAGCAAAAAGAGGAGGATTTGCGGCAGATGTTAGCTCAGGGCTAATCTTCCTCAAAAAAAATAAAAATAAAATAATAATAATTTAAAAATACATAAATAAAAAAGAATCTTCAATTTCTCAAGGAAAATACTTGGGAAGCCTTTATGAAGAATTTGTCTAATTCTGTGTATGTATTTACCATGGATGTCTCTTTTTAGAGATACCTATTATTATAGCCTATAATGAGGTCTTTATTCAAAACAAGCCTCCTGCTTTGTTGATATGTAGTTATCTTGGGCTGCTGGTGTGCGGTAGATGTCATGGACTGAATTGTGTCCCCTCAAAATTCATAGGTTGAAGCTCTAACCCATAATGTGCCTATATTTGGAGACAGGGCCTGTAGGGAGGTAATTAAGGTTAAATGAGGTCATATGGGTGGGGCCCTGATCCAATAGGACTGGTGTCCTTATAAGAGGAAGAGACAGCAGACATCTCCCTACCCCCACCCTGTGCAAGCAGAGGAAAGGCTATGTGAGGACACAGTGAGAAAAGGGCTGGCTGCAAGCCAGTGGGAAGAAAGGCCTCATCAAACACCGGGGCTGACGGCAACTCGATCTTGGACTTCCAGCCTCCAGAACTATGAGAAAATAAATGTCTGTTTTTCAAGCTCCCTAGTGTCTGGTTGTTATGGCAGCCTGAGCAGACTAATGTAGTAGATATATGCACAACACAGACATAAAAAGACTGCACGTTCTATAAAATTCTGAGTCCACACATGGGCAAGGTCTGACGTGGTGCACAGCATCGTAGATGGCAGCACCAGCTTAACCTTGGGGAGCATCCAAATGTCACTTTTGAACAGAGGAGATATTTTCAGTTAAAACATTACACCTAAGGAATTTGATGGTGGCGATGCATTGGCATCATTCAGCTGGTCACTAAATTACAGATGCTAACGGTATTTCAAGAACTGCAGAAGAAGCTGGGGACTTGCAATTTCTGTTACGTTCTTTCAAAGCACTTTGTATGCCTGAACTGTTGTAAATGGAGAGATGCAGAGGAAAGGCTTCCCCTGGGTTAAGATATCCAAAGGACATGTGAAGGGACCAGAGTTCCCAGACTCTGGGAGCACGCTCTGCTGAGCTGACGGTGCCCAGGTGGACCGCTTAGGGGCTCCAGAGATCAGTGCACGGACGCCTGCTGCTTGAATTTGGCAGGTTCTTTTTCTTTTCTCTCCTGACTTGAAAGATAATTATTAAACTTAAGAATTAGGGTCATCCTTTCCCATTGATGTGTGTCAACATACATGTACACAGATGAACTGCCTCATCTGTGGTCATGAAGAGCTATTAATAAATAAAAAATGGCCTAAAAGTTAATAAACAAACATCTAGCAATTAGAGACATGATGGAAGATGAAACAGGAAGCAAACTAGAATTTTGCAATAAAAAGATTGTTAAAAAAAAAAAAAAACTGATGAGGAAAATACAACTACAGTGTTCCCAAAGGCCTTCTGCATAAAGTTCCTTTCCCCTTCTGTTTTACCACAAGGTGTGAGACCAAAATAAGGAATGCATCCATACAGGGAAAGATTGAGGGGAGAAAGAGAAGTCTGGAAGTACATGCACCAAAATGTTAATAGTTATTCTTCCATGTAAAAAAATGCAATAAAACGGATGAGAAGGGGCTGGCCTGGTGGCGTAGCGGTTAAGTTCATGCACTCGGCTTCAGCAGCCCAGGGTTTGCCAGTTAGGATCTTGGGCACCGACCTACACACCACTTGTCAAGCCATGCTGTGGCAGCATCTCACATAGAAGAATTAGAAGGACTTACAACTAGGATATACAACTATGTACTGGGGCTTTGGGGAATAAAAAAAGAAAAGGGAAGATTGGCAACAGATGTTAGCTCAGGGCCAAGCTTCCTCAACAAAAAAGGAATGAAGAGGCACTGGTGGAAACTTCTGGCTGACCTGAAAAGATAGGAAAGCCAAGTTAAGTCCTTCTTACTACTTAACATTTTAAAATATTTTCTGTTTGTTAATATGATACAAAATAAGCCTCTGACAACGGGTTAAATTGAAACTGGAGCAAAGCTAGAAGATTCAATGGCTGGAGAGAAGTGGTCAAGGGTAAAAGTTTCAGTTATGGAAGATGAATAAGTCCTGGAAATCTACTATACAGCATGTGCCTATAGTTGACAATATCAAACATTTGGTAAGAAAGCAGACCTTACGTTGAGTGTTCTTATCACACAAAAATAATAATAATAAAGAGGGCAGGAGGAAACTTTGGAGGTGATGGCTATGTTTATGGCAAGCTCTAAATGTATCAGTGAGGGCAGGTGAGCAATAAAAGTCCTCTCCATCTTCCTGAACCATAACCTTAGGAGAGAGATGTTCTCATGCTGCACAAACCGGGCTATGTCCTCACACTGTTGTAGTGTCCAAGCCCTAGGGCATCAGGGCAAAGGAGAGCCTCTCCTCTGAGAGAACCTCACTGTCCTCATTTCCAGGAATGGTTATGGTCAGCAGAGCAGTTAATCTCACAGCCAGAGGGAGGGAAGCCAAAGGGAGCCTCAAGTAACTGAGGACCGGGACATTCCGGATTTTAAAATAGCTGACTTCACCTCATGGGCCATCTGAAGAATCCTTCCAGAACTTGGAAACAAGTTGTAATAGAACCTTACCCAACAGAAGCAAGGTTCTGCCAGACATTTTTGCTCATTCCCTTTGTTTTGTTTTCCAGAGTTTCCTCCTCAGATTAAATTTTTTCCTCCCTAATCACTCACTCCCTGAATGGATTAATTCTCCTCTGGGTATAACCATTATGCATAGTAAATACAGAGAAAGGCACTTTTCCTTAGCTCATCCACTTTCCTTAGCACCACTGCTAGTCTCTTGGATGGCAGCATCTGCCTCCTCTCAACACGTTGAAGCACATTCATCAGCTGGCCCCTCACGCTCGCATTGCCCCTGTTTTGTTTAATGACTTTACCATCCACCCAGCTGCTGACACTAGGAACCTCAGTCATCTTTCCTCCTTTTCTCCATCGCGTCCCCCTCCCCCAAAAACATTCAGTCAGGCATCAGGTCTGGTCACTTCTGCCTATGGAATGTTTCTGCAATCCTGGGACTTCATAGGCATCTTTTAGTTTGTCTCAGACCAAAGTCTTTCTGTTTCCAATTCATCCTCCACATGCTCATCAATTATTCTTCCAGAACAAAAATCTGGCTTTATTTCTCCCGTGCTTAATAACAACCAATAGTTACCATTATCTGGATAAAGTTTTATTTCCTTGACAACGTGTACATAATTCCCCCACGTCCCTTCACCCGTAATCAGAATTCACCTTTCTGCCGACCTACTCTCTGGATGAAATCATTTTAGCAACTTTACGCCTTTTTCCTCCAGCATTTCTGCTTGTCCTGGCTCCACTCTTAATTTTCTTCATTTTATTTTTCATTCCATTCTTTTTCTGTGGTCTCAAAATATTTTTCTTCTTACTTAGGCCATGCTTTGCAAGTCTCTGTTGGGGATTTTATTTTATCCTAATTAAAAGAACATAAACCATATCAAATTCTGTTGTCTTATCAAAAAGAGTTCTGAATCGGAAGTCCAAAATAATATCCAGTATAGTCTTGGACAATTTGGCTAGTATTTCAGTCATGAATAATGTTGCTTTTCCAGGGTAAAGGATATCTTTGATCTACTCTTCCTATCAAAGCACTCATTGGTCATGAATTTCCTTTTCTGAAATTATTGTGTCAGGTGTGATGGCAGCTGGTTTTTAAGCAGCAAGAGAAGAGGTATCTTCATACTTTAAAACTAGTCTTCTAATGAAAACTACTTCTACTCCCTCAAAAAGGTAAGAAATTAACACTTAAATGCTAAATTCTGAGTATTGTGTTAATTTCTTCAGATCCACCACCAACTAAAGGAAGGGAGGTATTCTAAATTTGTTTATGTTCCAGTAAAAATAATTGCAGGCTCCTTAGCAGCAGCACATAGATAGAGTTAGACAGCTGTATGAATATTATGTGTAGAAATGAAAGTAACAGTAGGAATTACTGAACTTACCAGTTTCCAGGAGGCCATATGTCCAACTTCATCAGCTTCCAGAAGGCATTCTTCTTGCCCCTCAACTCCCACAGGTAAAGGACTGAGGAGTCTAGGGAGAAGCATAACATTGAATGCATGGCATCTGTAGGTAGTTAGCATGGTTGAGTAGTTAATTGCTACTGTTACTCAATTAGCTTATTAGATTCAAGAAGAATAATCAGCCAACAAATATTTATTGATACAGAGGAAGGACTGTATCAAAATCACACCATGATAGGTGCTGGGGAACACAGTGGGAAAATAAAAGATTTTAAAGACTGGAGGGGAACATATACATTCAACAAATTATCACCATTTATTAAGTAAATTAATTCAAGGGTGCCAAGCACCATGAGCAAGAAATACAGGGTGCCAACAATGGAAACCCAACACATACACGCATGCATGTGTTTACATACATGAAACAGAGCTTGAAATGAATCTTTTCTCCACCTCGAGTGACAGCTTTGTTAATTCCTAACAAGCAATACAAACAGCTTCTATATAGAATTTATATGTACCTCTTTTCTGTTGTTGTTTATCACTGCCTGATAAGAAGCAAACATGGGTTCTTACTGATGTCAGCATGCAAAGTTGCTGCGGTAAATTTTTTCAAAATGAGTGATCGTTGTGGGTTCTGATGGGAACAGACAAGCTGTAGATGCATTTATGAATTTGGATGTCTGCTTACATAAGCAATAGAGCATGGTCGCTAAAAGCAGGCCACTGGAGCCAGACAGGCTTCTGTTCCATACTGGTTCCACTACTTCCCAGCAATGTCATCTTGGACTCTGTACCTTTAAAGTGAAGATAAATTACCACATTAACAACCTCATAGGTTGGTATGAGGATTACATGACTTAATACACGTAAAGCACTTGGCACATGTCAAGTGCCTGCCACAGAGTAAGTACTCGACAAACATCACCTCTTGGTTTTGCTCATACAGGGCCTTTATTTTTCACCAAACTAACTGAGCACAATGATATGGAATCTCATAGATACAAGTGGGATTTTTGTCAGACATAAACCAGAGTAATTCTGGGAAAAGTAGAAGGCAGCAGGAAAAGAGAAAGACCAAACATGAGATGGGAAGACTCCATAAAGGAAGCCATGGGCCTGAGTCTACAGGAGCTGAGTAGGGCTGTTGAGAACAGGACATTGGGGACATCTCTCATTCATAGGGTCAAAAGGAGTCGGAGCCAACATGACAGCACGTAACAACAAATACCAGAGTAAGTTTTAAGTATAGAAGGGGGTCCAGGAATTTAATACCACATTTGCTGTCTTTAGGTCTGAGTTTCAGTTAGGGTGTTAACGGAGAATGACAGTATGTTCAGATTTACATATGACATTTATTCTGGTTTGCTAGCACATACAGTAGTTAAAAACAGTAGTAGATATAGTGTTCATGTATATTAGCTTCCTTCAGACATTTTCAAAAAATACATTTGGCTTATTATATGAATAGATTGACCCATTTAACCTAGTTTTGACAGATTAAGGAAAAAGATGATACAATATGAAAAGCCGATGGAAGTTTTTAATATGTAGAACATTTCAGAATATACACCTCTTCAGTGCTATTAATAGGCAAATCATCAACAACAGTTTTTCAGACTTTGTGCTTCACTCTGGAGAAAAACAAGAGTGTGACATCTTGAGTGTCCTCATTGGGTAATCTAACACCCAGTCATAATATGAACATGAGCTGCGTATCGCGTTGCTCGAGTTTAGCGTCAATTAAAATTAAAAACGAAATTAGTCGTATAGTCTCTTTCAAAATGTTACGATTCAAAACAAACATCCAAATTGACAAAAGTTTGAATATTTATGACCATAAATCTTTTAACTCTTTGGTTTGGGCTTTTTAAAAAATCCTTTTTTAATTCTTAGTTCTACTCTACTCAAATAGGCTATAACAGAAGAGCTAATACGTATCGAGTATATTACTTGCTTTCTTCCAGGGGCTGTTACGGACATTGGTAAATTTTGATTCTAATGAGAACACTGTGTATAGTGGTTGCCCCTTTTAGGTAATACAGCAACCTCAAGGAGAGGAAAGTGAGGGCAGCACCGAAGATTGACATATACAGAGTTTATAGACCAGTGTTCTTCGTACAACGTTTATATTGACATCCAGTTTTATGAATTAAAAATCTTGTATAACTTACTAGTATTACTAGAAAGGAAAGCAGCGTTTTTCAGAGGACTATGTTCCATTTTATCTGTCTCTGATGCCTATTAACCAATAAAACCGTGCTCATTCTGCTGCTGTGGGAAATAAGCAATACGGAAGAGTGATAATGACTTTAGAGCATAACTCAGCCGTCAGGACAGCTAAGGAGAAGGCAGACAGACCACAAACCTCTGGACCCGGCGCTCCCCCGCGCGCTCCCCGCCCCCGCCCGGAGCGCGTGCCCGCTGCCGGAGGGGCTGGAGGCGGGGCCCCGGGCTCGGGGGCGGGTCTCGCGGGAGCTGCGGAGCCGGCCTGCCCGCACCGCTGGGGTTCTCGGCGACTCCGGGCGCTTGCGCAGGCGCGGTGGGCCGCTAGGAGGGGGCGACAAAGCCGGCGAGTGAGCGGAGCGCTGTCCTGTCGCGGGTTCTGAGCGCTATGAAACCCGGAGAGGAGCGGCCCGTGGAGGGCGGCGTCTGCGCCGTTGTGTCCGAGCTGGAGCTGCTGAAGCTGCGCGCCGCGGAGCGCATCGACGAGGCGGCCGAGCGCCTGGGGGCCCTGAGCCGCGCCATCTGGAGCGAGCCCGAGCTGGCCTACGAGGAGCACCGTGCCCACCGCGCGCTGACGTGCTTCTTCGAGCGCGAGCCCCCGGCCGCCTCGTGGGCGGTGCAGGCGCACTACCAGCTGGCCACGGCCTTCCGCGCCGAGTGGGAGCCGCCGGGGGCCGGGGCGGCGTCGCGCCCGCTGCACCTGGGCTTCCTCTGCGAGTACGACGCGCTGCCCGGCATCGGGCACGCCTGCGGCCACAATCTGATCGCCGAGGTCGGGGCGGCGGCCGCGCTGGGCGTGAAGGGGGCTTTGGAGGGCCTCCGCGGGCCGCCTCCGCCGGTGAAGGTGAGGTGGGGCCCGGGCGCGGGACTCGGTCCCCTGTCCAGCCGGCACCGACCAGGGAAGCAGGACGCGGTGCCTCCCGCGCGCCTCTGTCCCCTCCTGCCTCCGGGGGGGTGTCAGGGACCGCGCGGTTCGTCCGGCCCTCGCCTTTGCCAGAAGGCAGAACCCCTGGATAAAAATCAGTAGTTCTCGAGTTGCCCACCTAGCGGCGTTTTGCAGATTTTCGTTTTTTGTTCCCTCGTCTGTAGGTTGTAAACAATTGAGCGGACTCTCCCTTAGGAGAGAATTTAGTACCAAGCCTGGTTTTCATTACGGCTTATTTTTGGTAACAGGGGCAACTGCAATTTGCTGATAAGGTGGTGCAGTCTCTGGAGGAGGTGCTTATTGTTGGGAAATCTACAGCCTTTCTTTTGAGGCGCCAAAGAATCGTTTCTTTTGTGGCAGTCATAGGAGCTTTTGTGATTCGAATCACTGGTATTTGCATAGGAATTCTTCAGTCGTAAGAACTACCAAACCTCTAGAAGTATACAAATAAGGAGAAGGGAATGAGCATTTACTACATGGACGAGTTGATCCTTAATTCTAAATGTCTATTTCATGATTTTAATATCTCGGTTCTGTAAACGGAGAAATGTTTCTATTTGTCATAGGGCAAGTTTAATTTTGTGTTACTCTGTTTTTCCAGATGGTATATTCTTCATTCTGTGAGCTAAGATTCAGTCATCACCATTCAGGTTAAGGGGAAGACTAATGTTTTATTTTAATATTTTTTTTAGCCCACTTTTTCCAATGTCAGTAACCTTTCTCATTTATCCTAACAGTTCCATCTTTTGTGACTTTTTCTCTTTAGCTGCCTTCTCTTCTCTGCCTCTGGGGGCCTGATTTTGCATCTGGTTAGGTTTTCGTTTGTTTCGGGTGGGCGGGGGTCCTTTGCCATTGCATGAAGCCCTGAGACATCGAGCTTTAAGCGGGTTTATGAAAGTTTCGCAGAAGTCAGCAAGATTTAACTTGAGAAGTCACCAAATTTAGCGAGTCAAGGGTTAAGATTAAAAAGCAGCTTAATTTATGAGTGTGGGTGCTTGATAACTTCTAAAGAAAGCTAGCCTTGCGAAAATGTACACACTTCTAATTTCTAATGGTAATGCTCAGTTTTAGCCAGATTATCCATCCTATCTGAATATGGAGTTTATGTTGATTCCCTTTGGAAGCCGGGACTTTTTCCAACTTGTTTCATTGTGTTCTTATACCTGATCTTGAAAGTATATTAGTTGTTTATAGATAATTTTTCTTTGCTTTTAAACATTGTTTGAAGAAGTTATGCTTAAATATCAAAGTGAAATGTTTATTCTGTAAAGTTCTCTTTTGTTTAATTAGGTGTTTGGTGACCAATAAATCTGCCTGGTTGAACTGGTGGAATCGAATTAGTAAGTTTGTGTAATAGTTGGCCATTTCTGTCTGTGGTATTAAGATTTGTTTAATGCTCTTCATAAAGGATTAGTGAGTTAAGACTTTTTAATGCGGTAGCTCAGTAAGGAATCAGAGTTCAGGCCTGAAGGTCAGGACGTCTCATTCCAGCTCTGCCTGAAGACTTGCTCTGTGACCTGGGGCAGGGCCTTCACTCTCTGCCTCAAGACCACCCCCCCTAAAATGATGATGCAGATCGCCCACCTACCTCACAGGGTTGTTGTGAGGATAACTAATAAGTAACTGGAAAGTTCCTTACCAGTCAAGTGCTTATGAGTAATTATAATTATACATATACTATAAAATTAGTCAAGAAGAAGCTTTAAGAAATAAGTCCTAAAGAACAGTGAGGAGCTTGTATGTAGTATTAATCTTTTTTCATCTTTGCCATGAATTATATAAAATTGAGTTATAGTATTAGGAAACGTTTCCTGTAGTAGCTTTAGTACATGCCTTACACCAAATTGGTATAATCATGTAAATTAAAATTTGTGATTAATTTAGCACCGTAGACTCATGCCGACTACAGCATTAAAATGTCAGAGAACAAAACCTCTCTCCGTAGTTTAAGGACTTTAATGAATGTTGTGAATACATGTGCAAAGGAACCTGTCTGATGTTTTCCTACTAGGATTTGTTGTTGTTTTGCCCTGACACAGGTATTTCCTTCTAGGTAGTTGTCCTGGGAACCCCTGCAGAAGAAGATGGTGGTGGCAAAATTGATTTAATTGAAGCAGGGGCTTTTAAAAATCTTGATGTTGTTTTTATGGCCCATCCATCCCAAGAGAATGCTGCTTACCTACCTGATGCGGCTGAGCATGAGTAAGCAATCAACTTGAAATAAACTTCTTAGTGGAAAACAGACTGTTAGAACACTTTTAGGTCTTCACTGGAGACTAAAAGCCCATATTTATACTTTTAAAAGGTAAATTGAAAGATAATGTTGTAATGTCTTACTTGATTTCCGTTGAATGACATATTTGGTAAGCCTCTTCTAATTGAGATTTTATTTTAGATGGTCTTCATAACTGGACTATATTAAAATTTTTAAAAATCTTTAAAATCTATTGAGTGTTTGCACTTTGGCCTCAGGGGTGAAAACCTTAGAGATTAGGAATGCCTTCTGCAGGCAGGCTTCCCAGCCCAGTAGCCTTCTAGGACTTAGGGTTCGGCTCCTTGGCCTTGACCCTGCAGTTAGCCCAGCTGACCTCAGGCCATTTCTTATGTCTAGTTTCTTAGATTTTTCACTGGCCATCCTTGAAGATGTAAAAGAGAACAAGAACAAAAAGTAAATTTTAAAAAAATTGCTAAAATCCTAAAACTCTTTAACAATAAAAAAAGGTAAAGCACTCTGTCCCTATTGACCCCCTTTTCCACATCCAGTCTCTTCTCTAGAGGTATAGATCCTTCCAGGACTTCTTGGATATATTTATAGATGTAAGTAGGTACATGTATCAATTAAATTTTCAAGGAGGATTCCTCCCGGAAGTAGTCTACTAAATATATTGTTGGCCTGGCTCTTGCTTTTTAAAATTAAACAATATGTTGTGAAAATCATTCCCTATCAGTTCGTTTAAAATAATGCTTTTTAAGTCTAAAATAGTAATACTGATAACAAAACAACCATTAACACTTCTTTTCAGGTTTGTTGTGCTTTAATGGTACGTAGATTGAACCCTGGAAGAAATGGTGCTAGAGCTGTTTTCATAAAGAACATCCTTTCCCATTTTATAATATTTATCACCAGTTTTGTTAAAATTCCAGTTTCAAAGTGATAGTGATACTGTATATATCAAGGAAATAACAAGTATCCTAAAATCTTAAAAATGTATTTGGATGCTTTTACTTGTCTTTATTTTGCTAACAGAATGTTTGGAATCCGTCAAGAAATGTGAGCATTCCAAGGACTCCTGAGTCCAGCTCATTTAAAAAAATAAGTCTAGATTGGCTTTTTAATTAAATTATTAATTTACATTTTATTAATTACATTTAAATTAATGTGGTGCTATTAATCAGTTAGGCTTCAAAAATGTTATCTAAGCAAGTCATCTTTAGAAATAAGTATTTAATGTGCAATTCTTTCTCGAAACCTTACTGTTTTTCATTATGTCTGAGTAGTTAGATTAAGGTATTAGTGACACAGGTATTTTGGAACATAAATAAAATATTGGTGAGGAGCAACTGACTTAATGCTAGAGTATCTTATAATATTGTGAGTATAATCTGATTTTCAGAGGTTGTTTTAACCCGTTTTAAATGTCACTTCCCCAGGCTGGCCTGGTGGCACAGCACTTAAGTTCACGTACTCCGCTTCCTTGGCATGGGGTTCACTGATTTGGATCCTGGACACGGACGTATGTGCTACTTATCAAGCCATGCTGTGGCAGGCGTCCCACATATAAAATAGAGGAAGATGGGCATGGATGTTAACTCAGGGCCAGTCTTCCTCAGGAAAAAAAAAATAGAGGAGTCTTGGCAGTGGATGTTAGGTCAGGGCTAACCTTCCTTAAAAAAGAAAATACATAGATAGATGTCACCTCCTTTCTGTCTTTCCTTGACCTTCCTCCTCCCTTAAGACAGAATCATCTGAGTTTTTGCAGACTTTTGGTACGGAACTACCACAATGTGGTATAGAAGGAGACAGGAGCCATCTTTTTTATAATTCCAGCACCTAATACAGTATTACATGTTGGCTTGAATTGAATTGTGAACAAATTTAATTTGTACAGGAGATCGATTGAGCAAAGTTCTCTTTTTCTCTCTTTTTTTGGAATACCTTCTTTGTGTCAGTCACTATATTGCATAGTAATAAACTATAAGGTACATAAATTGCTATATTGTTACTACAGATGATTTGCAAATAAGAATTCCAGCAGCGTGAATGAATTTTGAATAATAGTTGTAATTCTGATTACTTGGATTTTTCTTACTTTAGTGGTGTTGAAGAAAGTAATTCCAAATGATGTTTTATTTTTTAGTGTGACTGTGAAATACTATGGAAAAGCGTCTCATGCTGCTGCTTATCCCTGGGAAGGAGTGAATGCATTGGATGCTGCTGTTCTCGCCTACAACAATCTGTCTGTGTTAAGACAGCAACTGAAACCAACCTGGAGAGCTCACGGTAGGAATGTCAAATACCTTGTATAATAGATGATGCTGAATATGTTTCAGTGCAATATTTGATTTAAAAATAATTTGGAAACATTTTATGTACTTCATAATGAGTATTCTGAGAATTTTAAACATTTTCGGAAATTCATGTGATAGAATACTAGGATGTTTGTCTATGTGGGTAAGAAGACAGTTAAGATTATTTATACATAAATGGGATGGTCATTCTGAGTATTAGAAAGAATGGTTTTATGTAAGGACCTACATTCTTTCTGTGGGTATTTGAAAGTGGGAACTTGATTTTCCAGTTACGCTCATTGTCTCTTAATGATAACAAAATTTTACCATTTCCTCAATTTTAAAAAAACCATCTTTTTAAACTATGTGTATCACCTTAATATAAATACAATAATAAAGTACTGTCTTGAAGGTACAAATTAATTTTTTTAGTTTAGTTTCTTATGATTTGGGAAATTATTATACTTTAATATCTGTTCTTTACCTGGTTTTGCTATAGCCTGAAATTAATTTGTAATTGCACTTTTACCAATTTCCCAGCTTCGTTTCTTTAAAAAGAATAAACAAGAATATGTAAAAATATTATTTTTTTAAGGCCGGTCGTACTAAAAAATTAGATTTTGCTTATCTATTTTAGTTATTACTTTGCATGGATAAATCTTCCTTCTCAGTGTAGTTCCAAATAAATGCATTTGTTTTGACAGTCGATAGTACTGAGTGATCTTTGACCTGCATTGGTTTCTTGTTGGCATGAATATTATTTTCCCAGAGCCAAATGTCATTTAAAATATTCATGGGACTCTTGAGGTATGAGGGTAATTATAGAACCTAGTACCATTGGGTTTTTTTTTTCCTGTGTCAAAAATTATCAAAATGTATAACTGTAATAAAGGCTACTGAAATAAAAGTCTTTTCTAGAAGGCTTAAGATAGGTATAAAAGGTTCTGACGGTTTCTTTATAGTGAGGAATCATAATTTCTTAACATTATGTAAATTCCTTAGAATAAAGTATAATAAAGTATCCATATAGGCAGTTATTTATTTTTGCTATTGGCCAGAAAATACCACCCTGTGTATAGCAACTTTTGTTGTACGACACGTCAGAATCTTTGGTGTATCTGTGAAGCTAAGTAGTTTAAATTATTTTTCTTTATGGACATATTGGCTGAAAAACTATGGGTGTATTTAAGCTTAAAGAAATGGTCTCCAAGCTCCAAACTCAATTCCAGTAATTTGGTTCTTTTTATAGGTATAATAAAAAATGGTGGTGTAAAACCTAATATCATTCCCTCTTATTCGGAATTAATCTATTACTTCCGTGCACCCTCAATGAAAGAACTTCGAGTTTTGACCAAAAAGGCAGAAGAGTGCTTCAGAGCTGCAGCGTTGGCCACCGGGTGCACGGTAAGAACTTTTGAGAGTTAATCTAAGTTTTAATCAGAGGTATACATGTGGGCTGGGGTGGTGAGTATTAAGTAGATGAGAACCTAACTTGCCTCTTTTTCATTTGGTGATCTTGCCCTGGGGGGAGCCTGTAGTCCAGTTGGAGAGACAAGCTCTGGATCCGGGCCTCTGTGCCTCACTGATTCTGTAACTTTTGGAAACGTTATTTAATATCTCTGGGCCTCCATTTTCTCTTGACAGATGGAGATGATAATATAATCTATCTTAGGTTTCTTGTGAGAATTAAATGAAACAGGATTTCTGAGAGTTATAGGGCTTAGCCCTCGTACATACTCCTTACTTTCCTTCTGCCCTCATTAGCCTGGAGATGCGTGATTTATTCAGATGGTAGCAGTGATTCTCAGACAGTATGTGTTCAGTGTCCAAGGAGTAAGAAATTAAGCATTCATCTCTTATTTATTTGTGATTATAAACATAAATACTTTAAATATTTGGAAGATAAATACGTAAACTATTATCATTAACTAATGTCCCAGGGTATAATATTCCCTAAGATAAAGTTCATAGTTATTGAATTTAAGTCTATATTTTAAATAGTCTTTTAATAATATATATATATTTTTACCTTTTATTATTTTATTGAGGTCACATTGGTTTACAACATGTAAATTTCATTGTACATCATTATATTTCGACTTCTGTATAGACTGCATTGTGTTCACCACCAAAAGTCTAGTTTCCATCCATCACCTTACACATGTGCCCCTTTACCCCTTACCTCCCCCTACTCGCTTCCCTTCTGGTAACCACCAGTCTGTTCTCCTTGATGATCTGTGTGTTTATCTTCCACCTATGAGTGAAATCATACGGTATGTGTCTTTCTCTTATTTGTGTTTGTCTGACTTGTTTTGCTTTAGCATAATACTCTCAAGGTCTATCCATATTATTGCAAATGGCACGATTTTGTCTTTTTTGTGGTAGAGTAGTATTTCATTTTATATGTATACCACGTCTTTATCCATTTTTCTGTTGATGAGCGCTTGGATTGTTTCCGTATCTTGGCTGTTGTGAGTAAGACTGCAGTGAACACAGGGCTGTATATATATTTTCAATTAGAGTTTTCATGATCTTTGGATAAATACCTAGAAATGAAATAACTGGATCATGTATTTTTAATTTTTTGAGAACTCTCCTTACTGTTTTCCATAGTGACTGCCCAGTTTACATTTCCACCAGCAGTGCATGAGGGTTCCCTTTTCTCCACATCCTCTCCAACACTTCTTATTTCTTGTCCTTTTAATAATAGCCATTCTGACAGGTGTGAGGTGATATTTCCTTGTAGTTTTTATTTGCATTTCCCTAATAATTAATGATGTTGAACATCTTTTCATGTGCCTATTTGCCATCTGTATGTCGTCTTTGGAAAAATGTCTGTTCATATCCTCTGCCCATTTTTTTGATCAGGTTGTTCATTATTTGTTATTGAGTTGTATGAGTTCTTTATATATTTTGGAGTTTAACCCCTTATTCGATATATGATTTGCAAAAATTTTCTCCCCATTGGTGGGTTGTCTTTTTATTTTGTTGATGGTTTCCTTTGCCTTGCAGAAGATTTTTAGTTTGATATAGTCGTATTTGTTTATTTTTTCTTTTGTTTCCCTTGCCTGAGGAGATGTGGTATTTAAAAAGATACTACTAAGACTGATGTCAGAGTGTACTCCCTATGTTTTCTTCTAGGAGTTTTAAGGTTGCGGGTCTTACATTCAAGTCTTTAATCCATTTTGAGTTAATTTTTGTGTATGGTATAAAATAATGATTTACTTTCATTTTTTCGTATATGGCTGCCTAGTTTTCCCAACACCATTTATTCAAGAGGGTTTCCTTTCTCCACTGTATGATCTTGGCTCCTTTGTCGCAGATTAACTGTCCATAGATATGTGGTTTTATTCCTGGGCTCTTAATTCTGTTCCACTGATCTGTGTGTCTGTTTTTGTGCCAGTACCATGCTGTTTCGGTTACTATAGCTTTGTAGTATATTTTGAATTCATGTGATGCCTCCAGCTTTGTTCTTTTTTTCTCAGGATTCCTTTGGCTGTTTGGGTTCTTTCGTCATTCCATATAAGTTTTAGGATTCTTTGTTCTATTTCTTTGAAAAATGTCATTGGGCTTCTGATTGGGATTCCATTAAATCTATAGATTGCATTAGGTAATATGGACATTTTAACTATGTTTATTGTTCCAATTCATGAGCACAGAATATCTTTCCATTTCTTTATGTCTTTGATTTGTTTCAATAGTGTCTTATTTTCAGTGTATAGGTCTTTTATCTCCTTGGTTAAATTTATTCCTAGATATTTTATTCTTTTTGTTGCAATTGTAAATGGGATTGTGTTCTTGCCTTCTCTTTCTGCTAGTTTGTTGTTAGTGTATAGAAATGCGACTGATTTTTGTATGTTGATTGTGTACTCTGCCACTTTACTGTATTCGTTATTTCTAATAGATTTTTGGTAGATTATTTAAGGCTTTGTATATATAAAATCATGTCATCTGCAAATAGTGACAGTTTTACTTCTTCCTTTCCAATTTGGATTCCTTTAATGTCTTTTTGCTGCCTAACCGCTTTGGCTAGGACTTGCAATACTATGTTGAATAAGAGTGGTGACAGTGGGCATCCTTGTCTTGTTCCTGTTCTTAAGGGGATAGTTTCGGTTTTTCACCATTGAGTATGATGTTGGCTGTGGGTTTGTCATAAATGGGCTTTGTTATGTTGAGGTACTTTCCTTCCATACCCATTTTATTGAGTTTTTATTGTAAATGGATATTGGATCTTGTCAAATGCTTTCTCTGCATCTATTGAGATGATCATGTAATCTTTATTCCTCATTGTGTTAATGTGGTATATTGCATCGATTGATTTGGAGATGTTGAACCATTCCTGCATCCCTAGAATAAATCTCACTTCACTCTGCTGTGTGATCCTTTTAATGTATTGCATTCAATTTGCTAATGTTTTATTGAGGATTTTTGCATCTGTGTTCATCAGTGATAGTGACCTGTAATTTTCCTTTTTTGTTTTGTCCTTTTCTGCTTTCAGTATAAGGGTAATGTTGTAACCTTGTAAAATGAATTAGGGAGCATTCCTTCCTAGAAGAGTTTGAGAAAGATAGGTGTTAGGTCTTCTTTGAATGTTTGGTAGAACTCACCGGAGAAGCCATCTGGTCCTGGACTTTTACTTTTTGGGAGATTTTTGATTACTGGTTTAGTCTCTTTACTTGTGACTGGTCTGTTTAGATTCTGTTTCTTCTTGATTCAGTTTTGTGAAATTGTATGATTCTGAGAATTTATCCGTTTCTTCTAGATAACCTAATTTGTTGGCATACAGGTTTCATATAGCTTTTCATAGTATTGTCTTATAATCCTTCTTATTTCTGTGGTGTCCATTGTAATTTCTCCTCTCTCATTTCTGATTTTACTTATTTGAGCCTTCTCTCTTTTTCTTAGTGAGTCTGGCTTAATGGTTTGTCAATTCTGTTTATCTTTTCAAAGAACCAGCTCTTAGTTTCATTGATCCTTTCTGTTGTTTTTTTAGTTTCTATTTCATTTACTTCTCTGATTTTTATTATTTTCTTCCTTCTTCGGACTTTGAGCTTTGTTCTTCTTTTCTAGTTCTTTTAGTATAGTCTTAGATTATTTGGGATTTTTCTTGTTTCTTAGGTAGGCCTGTATTACTATAAACTTCCCTCTTAATACCACTTCTGCTGCATAAGTTTTGGAATATTGTTTTCATTTGTCTCCGGGTATTTTTTGATTTCTCTTTTGATCCAATAGTTGTTCAGTAGCATGTTTTTTCGTCTCCACATATTTGTGACTTTTCAGCTTTCTTCTTGTAGTTGATTTCTAGTTTCATATCATTGTGGTCAGAAGAGATGCTTGATATGATTTCAACCTTCTTAAATTTATTGAGGCTTGTTTTGTTTCCCAGCATATGGTCTGTCTTTGAGAATGTTCCATGTGCACTTGGGAAGAATATCTGTTCTGCTGCTTTTGGATGGAATGTTCTATATATATCTATTTAAGGTCCATCTGGTCTGGTGTTTCATTTAAGGCCATCATTACCTTGTTTACTTTCTTTCTGGATGATCTATCCATTGATGTAAGTGGGGTGTTAAAGTTCCGTACTATTATTGTGTTGCTGTCATTTTCTCCTTTTAGGTCTGTTAATAGTTACTTTATATACTTTGGTGCTCCTATGTTAGGTGCATATATATTGTTAAGTGTTATGTCTTCTTGGTGGAATGTTCTTTTTATCATTATATAATGTCCATCTTTGTCTTCTATTATCTTTTCAACTTGAAGTGTGTTTTGTCTAATATACGTGTGGCAAGACCTGCTCTCTTTTCCTTGCCATTTGCTTGGAGTATTATCTTCCATCCCTTCACTCTGAGCCTTTGTTTGTTTTTAGAGCTAAGATGAGTCTCCTGGAGGCAGCATATTGTTGGGTCTTGTTTTTTAATCCATCCAGCCACTCTGTGTTTTTTGATTGGAGAATTCAATCCGTTTACATTGAGTGATTATTGATATTTGAGGGTTCAATGCTACCATTTTATCTTTTTTTTTCTGGATACTGCATATTTCCATTGTTTCCTTTTCCTTGTATTTCTGTCTCTCATTTCCGTTTGGTGGTTTTCTGTAATATTTTTCTCAGTTTCCTCTTTATTTATGATTTGTGACTCTGCTCTGATTTTTTGTTTTGTGGTTATCATGAGGTTTGTATAAAAGATCTCATAGATACGATATTCCTTTTTCCGCTGATAGCATCTTATCTCCTTTACCCTATACAGGTTTTGTCTTTTTCTTCTTTCACTTCTGTTTTTGTTATCACAAATTATCCATTTTTTTTTTTATTGTGAGTTTGTTACCAAATTGAAGTGGTTATAGTTTTTTTTGTTTTTGTTTGTGAGGAAGATTAGTGCAGAGTGAACATCTGTGCCAGTCTTCCTCCATTTTATGTGGGATGCCTTCACAGCGTGGCGTGATGAGTGGTGCTAGGTCCGCACCCGGGATGTGAACCTGCGAACCCCAGGCTGCCAAAGTAGAGCGCACGAACTTAACCACTACGCCCAGGCCAGCCCCTGAAGTGGTTATAGTTATTTTTGATGCTTTCTTTTCCTTTAGCCTTTGTGTTATTATTGTTTGCTAACCTGTTCAGATAGAGAGCTGCAGTTTTCTGATTTAGTCAATTTGTCACCTTGCTCAAAGCTGTGTAAACGTTTGCCTTTTTTGTTTCAGGTAGGAGAGTTCCTTTCAACATTTCTTGTAAGGCAGGTCTGTGGTGATGAACTCCCTCAGCTTTTGTTTTTCTGGGAAAACTTTTATTTCTCCTTCATATCTGAAGGAGAACTTTACTGGATAGATTACTCTTGGCTGACAGTTTTTGTTTTTCAGTATTTTGAATATATCATTCCAGTCTCTCCTAGCCTGTAGAGTTCTTGCTGAGAAATTGCCGAAAGCCTGATGAGGGTTCCGTTGTTAGTTGTTTTCTTCTCTCTGGCTGCCGTTAATATTGTTTCTTTGTTGTTGACTTGTGACAGTTTTAATGTAATATGCCTTGGAGAAAGTCTTTTGCTTTGAGATAATTAGGAGTTCTGTTAGCTTCATGTACGTGTATATCCAGTTCCTTCCCTAGAAGGAAGTTCTCTGCTATTATTTCTTTGCATAAGCTCTCTGCTCCTTTCTCCCTCTCTTCTTCTTCTGGGACACCTATTATCCTAATTGAGTTGGATATTTTTCATAGAATTTCTTAATTTTTAAAAAATCTTAGTTCTCTCTCCTCTTCCACCTGAATCATTTCTAGGTTTCTATCTTCAAGCTCACTAATTCTCTCTTCCATATGGTCTGCTCTATTTTCAGTTCTTTTACTTTACTTTTTTACTTTTTGTTTTTTGGTTCCTTTTTTTTTTGAGATAACATTGGTTTATGACATTATATAAATTTCATGTGTACATCATTATATTTCAGTTTCTGTGTAGATTACATCGTGGTCACGTGAACCCAAAGACTAATTACCATCCCTCACCATACACATCTGCAAGTCACCCCTTTCACCCTCCTCACTCCCCTCTTCCCCTCTGGTAACCACCAATCCAGTCTCTGTCTCTATATGATTATTGTTGTTGTTATCTTCTATTATGAGCAAGATCATTTGGTATTTGACTTTCTCCTTCTGACTTATTTCGCTTAGCTTAATGCCCTCAAGGTCCATCCATGTTGCTGCAAATGGCAAGATTTCATCTTTTTCTTATGGCTGAGTAGTATTCCATTGTGTATATATACCACATCTTCTTTATCCATTCGTCCCTTGATGGGCACCTAGGTTGCTTCCAAGTCTTGGCTATTGGGAATAATGCTGCAGTGAACACATGGGTGCATGTATCTTTATGCATTCATGTTTTCGTGTTCTTTGGATAAATACCCAGCAGTGGAATAACTGGATCGTATGGCAGTTCTAGTCTTAATTTTTTGAGGAATTTCCGTACTGTTTTTCATAGTGGCTGCACAGTTTGCAGTCGTACCACCAGTATATGAGACTTCTCTTTTCTCCACATCCTCTCCAGTAGTTGTTATGTCTTGTCTTATTAATTATAGCCATTCTGACAGGTGTGAGGTGATATCTCATTGTAGTTTTGATTTGCATTTTGCTTATAATTAGTGATGTTGACCATCTTTTCATGTGCCTGGTGGCCATCTGTATATCTTCTTTGGAAAAATGTCTGTTCAGATCTTTTGCCCAATTTTAATTGCATTTTAGTTTTTTTGTTGTTGAGATGTGTGAGTTCCTTATATATTTTGGATATTAACCCCTTATCAGATAGAAGGTTTGCAAATATCTTCTCCCAATTGTTAGGTTGTCTTTTTGTTTTGTTGATGGTTTCCTTTGCCATGCAGAATCTTTTAGTTTGATGTAGTCCCATTTGTTTATTCTTTCTTTTGTTTCCCTTGCCTGGACAGACATAGTACTTGAAAGTATTTCACCTCATTAGTTGTGTTCTTCATCTCCAGAATTTCTGTTTGGTTTTTTTTTTAGAGTTTAAATCTCTTTGGTAAAGTACTCTTTCTGTTCATTAATTTTATTCCTGAACTCATTGAGCTGTCTTTCTGAGTTTTCTTGTAATTCGCTGTGTTTTTTCATGACAACTATTTTGAATTCTCTCAGTCAGATTGTAATCTTCTGTGATTTCAAGTTTGGCTTCTAGAAAGTTGTTTTTTTTTCTGTTCTGCAGTGTTACTGCACTTCTTCACGGTACTTGATGAGTTGATCCTCTGCTGGCGTATTTGTGGTGGTAACCACCTTTCTTATTTGGATAAGGCTTTGGTTACTTTGATCTGAGCAGCTTCTGGTTGTATTTGAGAGCCTGCACTTTCTACTTCCACTGCCTCTGCTGGAGGCATCGTCAGTGCCCTTCTTGTGCTGCTTACGCCTCTGAGGTTGCTGGTGGCTTGCTGTTTGTGATGTTGCTGCAGTCTCAGATGTTGCCATCAGTGTCACCAAACTGCGAGCACTTCCAGGGTTGCCTTGTCTTGTGTCTTGTGTTCCTCCACTGGCTCTCTATGGGCTCTCCACAGCTTGATTTCTGCTTCCCCATGCACCACTTGTGCTGCTGCTCCTGGGTTATTGGGGGTGCTAGCAGCACCACTGCCAGAGGTCCTAGGTTCATGGGTGTCACTGTTGCTGCTAGGGGCCCAGTGTCTTGTATGTAGCTCCCACTGCTGGTGGAGCCAGTATTGGAGGTACGTCTCTGGGGGTTGGGTCATGAGTTCTGTTGTGGTTCCTGAAGCCTCAAGTTGCAGGTGCCACCTGCTACTGCTGGGGGAGGGGCAGGGGCTAAGCTGGGAACGTCATTGCTGATCTTCCAGCGTCTGATGGCTGCCACACGCTGGTGTCCTTGGAAACCTCAGGTGAGGGCACACCACCCCTGCTGGGGAAATCCATGTTTTAGATGCTATCCATGCTTCTGGAAAGACCAGCACCACTACCAGGGGGGCTAGGGAGGCACTGAGTCAGCAGCTCTGCCTTGTGTCCTGAAGCCTCAGGACCTGTGGACCACTCACCACTGACAGGGAGCAGAGGGCAGGGGCTAAACTGCGAGTGCCATGTCTCCCCCTGCAGCCTCTGGTTGCTGGTGCGCGCCAGTGTGAGGATCTGTGTTTTGGATCGCTGCTGCCTGGGGAGGGAGAAGGGACTGCTCCTGTAGCTCCACTGCCTCTGCAAGTCCAGTCCACCCACCTGCACGTGTGGATCTCTCAGGTGTTCTGCTGTGCTGTGCAGGGAATCCTTTGTTGGTTGGTGAATGTCTACAGGTTGTGGCTTAGAGGGGAGTGACAAGGGGAACAACTCACTGCCGTGATGCTGTTGATAATTTTTTATGTTTTGGCTGACTTATAACATCTGATTCGCTTGTCCTTGTTTCTGACTTAGATGTTACTAAGAATATAAGAAAAGTCATTTCTACCATTTTATAATTGGCTTTCACTAATGTTATAGATAAGTATTATCTTTGGTTTGTGGGAGTATTGCTCATTTTAATTTAAGCAAAACTAAATTTGTACATCCTTTTACCTGGGCGCATATCAATTTCTTCCATATCTTCATATACTGAAATTAATAAATAAGAAGCATAGTCAACCCTTCCTCATTGTGAATCTTCTTTCTCTCAGGATGTCTTTGTACCTCTCAGACCAGGCAGTGGTGTCAGTGCCAGTTTGTATATTGAACATTAGCAAGGCTTAATTTCTTTCTCTTAGGGTCTACAGCCTAGAGCAGTGTTCCTCATTGGGTGGTTTTTGGACCGTCTGCATCAGAATTACTTGGGGCTACTGGTTAACACTGAGATTCCTGAGCTCCGTCTACACCCTATTTAGGTGACTGAGGTTGAGACTCACTGACTAGTACAGCTAGGTGACATCGTGTGGTTTGGTGCATATATAACATAAAGGAGATCAGGTCCTGGGAACTCTCATTGTAGAAAATACAGATTTTTTTTTTAAGGTAGAAGGTCTGAGAGAGTTTGTATCCAGAAGGGAAAGTGCCCCCTCTTAAACCTTTTCTGCTAGAGAACTATTGCTGGTTTGAAAGTTAGTGAATTTGAGTTTTTCTATTTCAAAATGTGTTGTATAATTTTTTATTAGGTAGAAATTAAAGGTGGAACACATGATTATTACAATGTTCTTCCCAATAAGAGTCTATGGAAAGCTTATGTTGAAAATGGAAAAAAGCTGGGAATAGAATTCATTTCAGAAGATGCAATGTTGAAAGGCCCTTCAGGTAATTAAGTCCTTTCATCTATATTGTGCTATTTGAGGAAGGGAAATTCTGTCTGGTTAAATGGTTTTATTTAATAGCTTTGGAGGCAGGGAGATATTGCTGGTGTTTTTAACGACATTTCTCACAAACGTAATGGTGAGAGGAAGAAACTAATGCACTCTTCAGTGAATGCAGGGTGTCAGGTGAGCAGATTTGTTTTTAGAAATAGCCAACATACTTTTTGCTTTATAGTCTAAATATTTCTAGTGTTTAAATTTGCTTAGTTTTAATTTTTATATAAGCTACTTAAAGGGAAAATAGACTTTTAATTTATTCTAAGTCATCAATTAAGCAGGTTACTAAGTACTTAGTTATATGTGGACATTTTCAGTTTCTGAGGAGTAATAAACAACTATTAGAATTTATTTGTATTTTGTATAAATTGTAGAATTAATTTATTAGAATTGTAAGTGTATTGGGTGTTATTTTAGATTTTTTTTTTTTAAAACATTATTACTAATACATTTGCATGTTAGAAAGGTATCTCATAAAATATAATAATAGATGTCGATGAAGTAGACTCAAAAGGACTTGATAACAGTGGGGTGTTGATGTCATTGTTGAGATAAGGAGATTAAGAGAATAGCAGGTTTAGGGTATGGTGGATTGCTATAAATTATTAGGATGTTAATTTGAGGTGCTTATAGGATTTCTGAGGGGAGCTGTCCAGTAGTCTGTTGACTATGGAACCCACAATAGATGTCTGGGTTGGAGATTTAGGAGTTGTCAGTATCTGGAAGGTAATTGAAAACACGGGAGTCGATGAGGTTGCATAAGTACACAGGGAGAAGAAACCCAAGGATGAAACTCTGCGATCACCAGCACTTAGGAGACAGGCAAAGGAAGCAATCTAGAGAAGGAGATACAGAGCGTTCAGAAAGAAAGCTAGACAATCAGGAAAGCGTGGAGGCATGGAAGCCAAAGAAGTAGAGAATTTCTAGAAGGGAAGGAATAGTAAATCACGTCAGGTGCTATAGAGATTGAATAAGATGAAGATGGTCTGGTGTCTGTTGGACTAGCATTTAGAAATTCATGGATTGTCTTACCTCTCCAAGGATCTACTGATTTCGGAAATGTTTCTTTTGTGGTTCCTGGGATTCATCCATATTTTTACATTGGATCTAATGCCTTGAATCATACAGAACAATATACTGAAGCTGCAGGTAAGTGTTATTAGAAGTCAGTGTTTTGGTGTGTGCTCTCCTTTTGTGGTAGTAGCTGTCTTTCTAACTGTTTAGTTTAACCTACTATTATTTCAGTACCTAACATCACCTCAGAAGATACTCTCTTGTGGTGGGCAGTTGGAGAGGCAATTTAGATATTGAGAGCTAAGCTGAAAACTAGTCAATTAGTTTATGATAGGTGTGGAGTTATCTTTACTTTCTCTACCTTTTAGGATCACAAGAAGCTCAGTTCTACACTTTGCGTACCGCCAAAGCTCTGGCAATGACTGCACTAGATGTTATTTTTAAACCAGAATTGCTAGAAAGAATTAGAGAGGACTTTAAATTGAAACTTCAAGAAGAAGAGTTCTTCAATACAGTAGAATAAAAAGAAGATGTAGGAACCACTAATGGATCGTTAAGAAGAAGTGATGGTTTTTTTCTTTAATCTTTTTTAACGAAGGAGGAGGACATGCTTGTTTTTCAGTCTTAAAGAAGTCAAATTCTTCTGACCTGAAAAGTGAGGATGTGATGTGGAGAAAACACGTTACCTCATGTCTAAAATGAAAATTTTCACAAGTCTGTATTTGATGGAATCCTAATCTTTCAGGAGCTCGTATGTGATGACATTTCTTAAACAACCTGGGTGATACATGGTTTATCAGTGATGATACTTTATAAATTCATATGTTGTATAAGTGTATTTTAACAGATCCAAGACATTTCAAACCTTATATTCAGAATTGACATATGAGAGATTTTTTTGGTATAGGGTGGTAAAATTGTTCTATAAAGTACTTTTAAAATTTAAGTTCATTTTGGATATCTGACTATATCTGTTTTGGTTTAGAGAATCTCTTGATTGATAATAAAAGTAGGTTTTTAATCAGAAATGCTGTGGGAAACAACTAGAAACTCAGGTCCAAAGAATACACTTAGTTTTACCATTTGAAGGAAAATGAAAATGTTCTTTTTTTATATAATTAACTCTGAGAAGTGGCATTAAAGTGCTATTCCTAATTCCACATTAGCGTAATAGGAAAAATTACAGATGGATGGGATTCGACTCTTCCTGTAAGGTGTGTGCTTGGTAGCACAGTGTTCTAGACTTAACAAGAGAGGACGATGCCTGCTTTCTCGAATGTTAATGTCATGTAACTGGTCCCCTCTACCTAGCAGCCCTGTTTAGGTTTCTACCCAGAAGCCAGCCTGTCCAGCCTGTCTGGACAATAGTGTAGTTTACCGAGTGTAGGGGACAGAGTTCTAAGCTTCCTTAAGCCCTGTGCTAGCCCAATGTTAACTTAAAAGTATTGTAAGTTTTTCTTGCTTCTTATTTTAGTGTGAATTTCTTGAACATGATAAAAGAATGTAAAAAAAGTATCTGATAAAACAAATACTTTATGCTGTGAATGTAGTAAAGCTCCAGTATACTTTATTGTAAAGGAAGTCCTCAAATTTGAGTGTAAGCATTCCAAAAATGGAAGGGGAAGGAGAGAAAAGTGAGCGTTTGGCCTCTCTTCTGTAAGCAATCACTTGGGCCTCTGAGCCGTCAGTCAGCTCCCCGTTTGGAAACTTAGATTAGATCACTTATTCCTGTAGTCCTTTGAATTCTAATTCCCAGTCTATCTGAAATTATTTAAAGTTGAAAGAACAAGATGGGTGTTATTTTAGGAGAGTTAGAATGAGAATTGCTCCTCTTCTATATCAGGGGTCTGTGTGCGGCCGAATTTGGCAAGCAGCCTGATTTTGTATGGATAGTGAGCTAAAAGTGATCTTTTTAAAGGGTTGTAGGAAAAAAAATCAGAAACCAGATCATGTGATCTGCAAAACCTAAAATATTTACTGGCTGGCCTTGTATAAAGAAAAGTTTGAATCCAGGCCTGATGGCCTAGTGGTTAAAGTTCAGCACTCTCGCAGCTTCAGTGGCCCGGGTTCATTTCCCGGTCGTGGAACCACACCACCCATCTGTCAGTAGCCATGCTGTGGTGGCAGCTCACATAGAAGAACTAGGACTTATGACTAGACTGTACAACCATGCACTGGGCTTTTGGGGAGGAAAAGAGAAAAAAGTTCACCAGCCCCTGTTCTGTATAACAGTAAAATAAACCTGTTTCTCTGATATTCTTCGTATAATCACATCTTCTCCTAGGATAAAACTTCAAGCCTCTGCATTGAAAACATTGAGAAAGGGATTTAGCTGGCACTGTCCTGGTATTGACCGTTGTGATCAGATGTGGTTTGTCCTTATTGGGAGTTTTGGCGCTGTACAAGTTTGTTTTCCGTTAGCATTTACTTCCCTCTGGAATACAGCTACCCTGATGCCTTAGTCTGTCCCTGGTGCCAGCCAGTCTTCTAACTCTCCTCAGCTTTTAGAACTTGATCCTCTCTGACACCGTGTGTCTGATTATTGATAATCTCAGATAGTCGTGGTTGGTAATATTTTACAAACAGGAGAGGAATCAGCAAAGACTTCAGGCTGAGAACTGCATATGTCTGAGACCTCTGGTTCGTACAAATTGAATTAGTTTCCTAATTTTCAGTTTAATAAATTACTGAACTATGAGCTTTAAATTCCTCATGTAAATTCTGCACTCAAAGTAACTTTATTTTCTAAAGCTTTGATAAAATTCTAGAACAGCAATTGTTAACTGGCATCCTCACACACTAATATTCTCTGTCTTCTGTAATGTGTCCCAAGTTAGTTGTTACTCATACAGAGTATTTGTATTTTGCTTGTGATTAATTTACTTTTATAAAAAACGAACTAGAGACCATGTCAGGTTAGCATCCTATTGTTACTGATTCGCTTGCATTCTGATATGTGTTCTTGCGTGAGAGAGCAGGGTGTGGATTCCAGCTGGCCTGCAGAGAATGGATATAATCTGCACCCAGCACCGTCTGCCCCAGCTCAGTAGGAGGAACTAATATTGATGTGCCACTAAGACTCGCGTCACTTCTGAGTTTCTGTGATACTGCCCTTTCAGTTTTTGAAAAATTTGGTCAAAATGTTGGTTTACCCGTTGGAATATGTCATGGATTTATCGTGTCAGAAAAGAGATTGAGAAATAATGCTCTGCAGTCTATCTAGAAGTATGTTTTTTTTTTCAGATCCTACCTTGACATTTTACATTATTTTACTTCAACAGTTATTTAATATAATTTAGATTTTTTAAAAGTTGAGATTTTTAAAATCTTTTACTTTTTATATTCCAGTGAGTTAATTGAGCCATGTTACACTAAAAAGTGTAAATAAATACATAAATAAATGCAGGAGTCAAGTTCTCACACCCAGAGGAACCATCTATAGCTAATCTTCATTGTAATTCATTGAATTTAGGAGATTGCTTTCTTTGTAATTATAGTTTTTCCTTTTGGAACTGAGTTCTTTCTTTACCCTCATACTTCAACAGCATGTCTCCTAAATAATTGTGCTAAATTTTCATAAACATTTATACTTAGCTTAAATTACTGTTGTTGGTTGGTCCTCACATTTTGGATTAAATCTCCAAAGATTTTGAAAGATAAACAGGGAAGCTCCAGATAATAGGTGAACGGTGTCACTTTTAGATAAAGGTTATATTTAGTTCTTTATACTTAAAAGATGAGTATTTATTTTTAGGAGGTTGACAAGTGCATAGGACTTCTTAAAATTTATAGTTTTGTATCTTGTTTTAGAAGGGGGCGACTAAGTTTTTCTCCCAGAATTAGTTTAAAGGATGACGCTTTATCATCACTAAGATTCAGTGATTGTATGTTATTCCTCCACTAGACTGTATATTCTTTGAAGCCAGCATCTTTTCAATATGTTTAATTTCCTTCAGGTAAACGACTCATTTGAAAAGAAAAGGCCAAGATAAGTGTAAAAATTAAAATTGTATGACTTTAAAAAATACTGAATTAGTTTCTAACCTAAACTAGAAATATAAGTGGACCTGCTTGAGGTGTCTTTGTTTTATGGAAAATGCTTTTATTACATGCCTCTTTTGCAATCTTTCATTGTTCACACACTGAACTGAGAGCCTTTTCCTCAATATCAACTTTTGGCTATCTCTGTTAAATTAATAGACTTTAAAAGGTATAATCCGAATTAATGGTTTAAAGTTAATTACAGATTAAAAATGTTTCCTTTTTAGGGACTTAATTTTAAAAGCAGGCCTGAATGGGGCCTGTATAAAACCATCATGTCGTTCTGTTAGTTACTAAGTTGCTATATACCCTATAATAAGATTGAGTACAGCTAATACTTAGCTTGCCTTTTAAAAACTTTTGGACTGCTTTTCACTTTTAAAAACTATCCATATTTTATGAACTACTCAGGAAGTTTTTCCCTTATAATTGTTTCTTTCTGTAGCACTCACAAGGGCTGGGGCGTTTAAAATAAACTAGAACATTTTCATGTGTTTATGAATACTTGTATAAACTGGAAGTCTTTTGATTTCCCACAGTCCTGTGGACTGTTTGTTTATTGATACGTTGCGTTGATATTTTAACTGTTGTGATTTCAGCAGTTGAGGTCAGTGAACATTTGTTGAGGAGTGCCTACTTCTAAGCACTGGGGTAAGATGAAGAGTGAGGCGTGGTCCAGGCCCAAAAAGGCTTGTAGTTGGTGGTAAGTTCTCGTAAGATTTACTTAATCTGAGCAATGCTGGTATTGGGGGAGCATCCGAAAGCTACTGCCTTGGGAAGTTTCGAGGAAGTATTTCTAAAATATTTTAAAATACCTGAGTCACATCATTCTGTTTGAATAGAAGAAATTGAGGGGCTGGTCCTGTGGCCAAGTGGTTAACTTTGCACACTGTGCTTCGGCGGCCCAGGGTTTCGCTGGTTTCGGATCCTGGGCGCAGACCTAGAACCGCTCATCAAGCCACATGAGGCAGCGTCCCACACAGAGGAACTAGAAGGACCCACAACTAGAATATACAGCTATGTACTGGGGGGCTTTGGGGAGAAGGGGGTAAAAAAAAAAGATTGGCAACAGATGTTAGCTCAGCGCCGATCTTAAAAGAAAAAAGGTATGATTAAAAAAAGAAGAAACTGATATGAAAAGTCTTTTTTTAAAGAATTGTTGTCTAATTTTATAATACAATCTTTTCTAAAAATCTTTCTGATAGTTGTTTTTTATACATTTCTTACTTTTTACCTGAACCATCTCGTTAGTCTTCTGGAAAACGTTCTATGTGGTACTCGCCTTCAGACTATCAAAGTAAATTTTCATTGTAAAATAAATTGGTTATCTTTGTGCTAGCTAGCAACGCCTATATGGCTATAAGGTATGATAAACTGCTTTATTTTATTTTTGTACATACCTCAAGCATTTTGCAATCTAATTGCATAGTTGAGGATGGTACATTTTGATACTATGAAATTAATATTTTCAAGTACGCAGTCTCTACTACCATCAGACTTTAGTCGTTCTTTGTAATATTTTAGTAATACATATTAAAGTATGTATGAAAAAGCTAAAATTGTTAATAAATGTTTATTTCTTAGCAGTTGTCCTGTGGTTTTTTCAACAGATATATGGAGATATGGCAATATATGACGATAAAGCACAATTACCCAAATACACGGTGATATATTATACTTTTATTAATTCATCAGTATTACAGATGTTGATTTGCTCTTAAGCATTAAATATATTATTCATATAATGAGAACTTAAAAAGGACAGTGAACTACTTTTGTTTAAAAGTAGTCTCAGAAGCTGAAAAATGCCAATGCAAATTGTACGTGATAAGAGTTAGATACATAATTATAGTATTGAATTTTCTTTAAAAGAATTTTTTTTCAACTTGAGTACAAAGTAATTCCATGTAATTACTCAAATGCAGTAGAAGAGGTTTTTAGATTCTTATCAATGGCTAAATGGAATAAGTGTCTCATATGAGAAAAATTGTCGTGTCCACGTTTGTTTGTTTAAACTGGCTTTCCAATAGAGTCCAAATCTGTTTTTTTTCCAGTGATTAAAGTGTAAGATTAGCTTTGGTTAGTTCAGTGAATCAAAGCATCCAATCGCCTTAAAAAATAAACCTTAGACGTTTAAATTGAAGTGTCAGATCAGAGTCTTAAATAGACAGGAATCTTGTTTAGGTCGAAAACTAAGTAGACATTGCTCCGCTGGGTGACCAGTGAATTACATTTGAGAGAGTTTGAACTCTTAGCTATTTGTTGTGTCACTGATACCTGACACGGTATTTTATTTAGCTCAAAAGAGTGGAGAGGATGGAAAGCATTTCAAAAACTTCATGTTTTTCTGCTTGAGCTTATTTTATTCAAAGAACACCAAACCTTCTAAATCCAAGCATTGCTGCTGCCTGTAAATGATGTGGATTCAGGATTAACGATTGCTTCATGCCTGGTCATCTGGCTTGACACATTCTTGGAAGGAAGATCAGGTGTGTGGTACAAGAACCCTAAAGAGTGATATGACCTTAAGTACCTCTTGACTGTGAGTAGAGTTCAAGTTTGTTTAATGCTTGATAGATGGGAGGATCCCACCTTTGAAGAAGTAGACTTAGATGCGTTTGAAACCTAAAGCTTTAAATTACTGTCCAAGCCCCATTAATCTCTGAAAGTGGTGAGGGTACTGAATTATCATTCCACCGTAATGTTTCTTCAAAGATGGAGTGGTTACCCATAGCAGCTGTTTGGCAGACCTCCCATAGTTTTTGGAAGGCATTTAGCCTCTGCCCATACATCCCAAGTCACAAAACCCACTTGGGTGGGTTGTGTTTTTTTTAAGAGAGGGTCTCTTGTAAAAATATATATTAAAGAAGAACTTTTAATAGAAAACCTTAGGCAGAGAGAGATTGCAACCATGGTTCTCTGGGATATTTATCTCTAGGGGTCTCTCTCTCTCATCAGATTTTAGTCCCTATTCCCAGCTAATGATGTTGCCATTAACCCTGCCTACCTTCTGCCACTTTTTAGGTTCTCCTGGCCTAAGGATGATTTCTTTTGTTCCATTGACCCGAAGTTGGACAAAAAAGAATCTAGAAATCAATGGGAAAAAATTATAAAAGTTTAGAAATTCACAAAGCACAGATTTCTTACTCTAAGATGAGAATAACCTAAGTTGGCTAACAGTGCTTTTCTGTCCTCACCTCCATGTGTCACAACCATGTTTGTTACCTTTTAATATATGACGTGATCTGTCCATTCCTTTATTCCCTTATTCCTATCAAAGGAATATATTTGCTGCATATTCAAAAGCATATCCTTCATGTTGAACCAGTTGCTAAAGTTTGGTGGCTTTTTTGTTTTTTTTAAACAGTCTGAAGGATCCCTTTAGTTCTGGGCTCGTTTGCAGACAGTCATCATTGAGCTTCAGGCAGGCTGAGTGGGGAAATCTTAATCTGGCTCTGGTTGGTAATTCCTTCCATGTCTCCTGAAGGACCAGCTTACCCTCCTTCAGCTCCTTAGAAGGCCTGTACAAATTAAATAGGGAGTGGGGAGGTGCTTAAATTAGCTCTCCTGGGAATTTAGAATTGAGACGGGGTCATTTGATGATGATGGGCTGTGGAATTTTAAGGTCAATCAATCTGGAACTGAATGTCGTGTGTGAGCAGAGAAGGACAGTCTTAATAGGGAATAAAGCAATCATCCAGCAAACAGTGAAGAAAGACTATACTGCCTAGAAAGAGAAGCTGTCTGAAATCTTCCCAGTGTTCATGAGGCTCAGCTGGGCTTCACTCTGTTTCCATCCTATCTGTGGGATTCCCCTGTATTCTTTCTTAAGCTAGTTTGAGTGGGTTACTCTTCCTTACTATCAAATATCACTAAGGTATAGTTTAATCCCATTTGTCATTTTTAAAGTCTCAGAAAGCCAGGAACCTAGAATTACACTACCGTAACATAGTAAAGAATATTGGTCTCAAGTCAACATCCATTCTAACATTCATTGTTAATGTAGAGAAATAGTTGAGTGTGTGACAAGAATATTCGTCACAGTATTATTTTTTCTCCAGTATTAGGGGAAAGATTGCCTTGTACATCCATGGTATGGAATGGTTTTAATGGCTGCAAAATAAAGGAAATTTTTAATAGGAAAATGGTCATGCTGTGTTATGGAAAAGAACCAAAATCAATTTGTGTATAAAATATGGCAGCTATATAAAAATGTATAGAAAAAAGGAAAATAGTAATAGTTGACTCTGGGTAATAGGATTATGAATGAAGTTTTTCTGCTTTTTATAACTTGACAAACTTTACAAATTACCACCCCCCCAAAAAAAAGGAGGCAAAGAAAGGAAATTTACCTCCCAAATGTGCACTTAAATCTCAGGTGACTCAGATTCATACTTCCTTAGAATGAAGAATTTTTAAGAACTTAATTGCACTTTGTGGTGGAGGAATATTTTTACAATATTCCTGGACAGACATTTCTTCCCATTTTGTAGAGGTGTCTCTGTCCTTGAAGCTGAGTTTGCTGTTCGAGGGCTGTAGACTAAAGGGGAGTGCTTTACCAACTTGTTTGAGATCAAGTCCGCTGTAGCTCCTAACACAGTGCTTGGCGCATACAGTTAGCCCTCAGTATTGAGTCGCTGAATGTGTAAATACAGCTCATGTCACTTTCTGTGAATGACACTCAAAGATGTGGTTCTGTGAACCTAGCTCAGTACCTTGCTAACGTGAATGCACATAGGAATCACCTAGGGATCTTGTTAAAATACAGGTTCTAATTGACTGGGTCCGGGGCAGAGCCTGAGATTCTGCTTTCCTGACACTTTCCTAGGTCATGCCAGTGCTGCTCTGGGGATACAGGGCGTTGCAAGAACCGAATTGAATTCATCCTAATTAAAAACAGACGCAAAAATGGAAATCCAGCTTGAGGAATGCCATGGGAATTAAGTCGTGTTATGGAACAATATTACAAAGTGGGGAAATAGTTGTAATGCTGTACCTTAAATCTTTAGTTTTTAGATAAAGCTA